TTCTGGATTCCTGTCCTGGATACCCACGAAGCGCTTGGAGTTTCATCCGCACATAGTTTCTTCAGTCGGATGGCGCACAGTGCTGGATGCAAACAAGCGAGGAGAAATTCTCGGGTTAACATCGGTTTTCTTCCACTTAGATTAAGGTCAGCGAAGGGTTGCCGATCGAGAAGTGTGGACATGAATGTTGCTGGCGGGGCCTGCTCCGAGGTGGGCAACTAGATAAAAAGTCTGCAGCTTGGTTCCAGAGCACTCCAGGCACCGGAAAAAAAATGGATTAAGGTCAGAGACAGGTTGCCGATTGAGAGGTGTGGGTATAAATGTTGCGGGCGAGATCTGCGCCGAGGTGGGTGAAGTCCAGACAAAAGGTCTATAGTCCGGTTACACAGCAATCGAGAGACAGGAAAAAAGTGGATTAAGGTCAGAGAAAGGTTGCCGATTGAAAAGTGTGGGCATAAATTTTGCGGATGGGGCCTACTCCGAGGTGGGCAGAGCCAGACAAAAAAGCATGTAGCTCGGTTAGAGCAATCAGGAAGCAGAAAAAAGTGCATTTAGGTCAGCGAAGAGTAGCCGGTTGAGAAATACAGGGGCACACGTTTAGGGACGAGCTCTGAGGTGGGCGCAGGCAATAAGAAAGAGTGTAAAATAGTTTCCGAGGAATCAATAAGCCAAAAAAAGGATTATGGTCAGACATGCGAGGATGGATCGATGCGGGACACATCCATTGTGGGCGGAGCTGGGCCTAGGAAATTCTAGAAGTGTTCCAGAGCACTTGAGACACATGGAAAAACGTGGACTGCGGTAAGCGAGGGATCACCGGTTTCGGTGCGAAACACATCCATTCGTGAGCGGAGCTGCGGCGGGGTGGGCGGAGCCTGCCGCAAAAATCTGTAAAGTGCTTCCAGAACACTCCAGACAGGCAAGAGGTGAGCAAAGATGTGCAGGAGCTCGGCTATCGAAGCGAGATAGAAGCGCCCACTGTAGGCGGAGCTGTGTCGAGGTGGGTGGGTTAAAGGAAAAAAATTCACGAATTAGTAGCAGAGCAGCATAGGCACCAGGGACAAATGCCTTGAGGTCCACGAAGGGATTAGCGGACGAAATGAGGGAGACATCCCGAGAACGGGCGGGCTCTCGAGATGGACTTGTTGCTGCGAAAATTCGTGGTTCGGACCTGAGTGAGTTTAGAGATCGGGAAAACCGTTAGAGAAGAGAAAAATTCAACGACAGTCGAGTATTTCTGTGTTGCGTTGAGACCAGCTTATAGTGGGTTGAGAGTGCGTTCAAGCGCGGGGTACCTATTTCCACTCCTTTCAGTGCATAGGCCACCATACTCTTGAACACCTGTCGTCACAGTTACATTTGATACCAGTCGATCGCAGGCACGACTTCTTCTTCAACACGACCAGGCTTTGCCGGGTTTGCTTGGCTTCGCCGCGCGTACCTGCTTTCGTATGTTTGAATGCTCAACTAATGAACGGCTTTTCTCTCACCTGCGCACCTATCAAGCTGCTCACCACCATTTTATAGACGGTGATAGTGTCGTAAATAGCAGGCATGATGTTATTGGTCAAGAAAGTTGACCATGTGTACAGATGAAAGAAAAGCCGGATTGCTTAGTATCCAAACATGTAAAAGAAGGTGCGCACAGCGAAGACGAGCTGCATAACAGAGCAGCGCGCAGGCGCCTGCCGGCGAGCCGACTGGTTGCCTCATAAGTGCTGCATAACGGATGCATCCAGTATTCAGGAAGTTGTGCGTAGCATCAGATGCTTGGGTAGCGTCAAGGACACAACATCCCATGGCGCGCTGAAGCAGCACTGTCAACGAGTCCCAGGCTGTGAACGGAAGGCGGAATTCGCGTTCCTTTGGTTTACATGCTCACACTTGATGCCCGATTGTGTGCGTTCACGGGTCGAAGTATTCCAGTTTACGCTTGTAACACTGTGCACGTCCTAAGCACATAATTTTGTGCGTTCGCCATTTTGGAGCATTTTCTTACTACTTTTTGAGTAAGCTGCAATGGATATTCATTCCACTTCGATCTCGAGCGAATCGAATGGCGCGTGCTAAATAAAAGCTTTGTCACCTCTTCACTTCATGCTCGCTTGAAATTTCTCATTTGATCGACTTTTCAGCTAGCTCTACAAATTTTCATCGGTATCAATGGAGAAACTCACTTATAAACAAAAAAGGCAGGATTCAGGTTCATCGTCACGAAAGCGTACGTCGTGTATCCCAAAGCGATCTTTGTTGCAGAAAATGTTAAGACGTCATATGCAAGCTTCTTCTTCGCTGAATCCAAAAAGCGATATCGCACACATCGCCGGAACTGTAAAAAAGAACACAGCTGATAACTTGCTGTCGCTTAATCTGGAACTTTCACACGTTCGCGGCGGCGTGTACTCCCGGGAGTACACGAAAAAACTCCGCTTTCGGCGAATCGTGTACTCCCGGGAGTACACGCGCCTATTCGCTCGTTTTTTGAATTTTTTTTCATTTTTCAGCTAGAATCGGATATAAACAATTAATCAAACAATAGAGAATTAATATAGACACATTAAAAGAGGCGTGTACACCCGAAAAACATTCAAAAACTTTTCTCTCAAGGCGAATCGGGCTTTTCCAGGAGTACACGCGCCTCTTTGCTCGTTTCTCTATTTTTTTCTTTTGAATAGTAATTGCATGCATATACTGAAACAAACAATAGAGAAATGTTATCCATACATTAGAATAAGCGTGTACTGCCAAAAAACACGCGAAAACTTTTTTCTTCAGACCAATCGTGTACTCCCAGGAGTACACGCGCCTCTTCTCTTGTTTTTTTATGATTTTTTTCTTCATTTCACTGACAATTATATACAAATAATAGAATAAATAGTATAGAAGTAATACTAAAAACATTTCTTGTGCATTTTTTGGAAGCAGGAGAGGCAGTATTGGTTTTTACAAGAGGAACAAATCGTGTTTACTTTTGTTTACTCAACTTCAAAAGGGGCAAGATACCTGGTTCTTTCACCAGAAATGAGATAAACCTTGCAGAGGGGAAGTGTAAAAAGTGGAAAAAAAACGAATCACGTGGTTTTTGGCGAAGTTGTATTCGTTGCGAGTGCGCTTAACCATAAACGGGACGATTGCCTGAGTGTCGCCCGCCGCGAACGCGCCGCTCGACAAACGGAAGTTTTTGGCGAAACGGCGCCGCTGCGAACGTTTTAACCGTGTTAGCAATTGGAATACTCATCCAGCTGCTAATGTAATCTGCGCAGCTATCAGTGACCCTCAGCCATCTTGTAGAAGATGATACGGACTATCAAACGGTGTTTCGTAGAAGACACATTCCGCCAACGTCTGATGAAAAGAAGCCCCTCCTTGTACAAGTAGTCCGGTCTGTAATCGAAGGGAAGGATGGTAGGTCGAAGTGACCATTTGAAATGAGAGTGTACCGATCAGCGGCGTAGGGCTTCCTCAATCGAGACAGTGTGGCCGAATGGTTACGTCACAGGTCTCGCAAATGCATAGGCGGATATTCGAATGGAGGTGTTTCCCATCATGATTTCCGGCACGACTTGCCGCGTCAAAGTACGTCGTTTGAGAGTCTATCCAAATATACTCAACTTCGCACACAACTTCGTGTGATTTCGGGTATGGCCATGTCGTTTAGGAAATAAAGACATTTTTCAGGGCCAACTCATTCGTTGAAGTGCGTTCTCGGAAACAAGGTCCTCAAAGCAACGGAAGAAGGAATCAACGACCAAATGTTCTCTACGTAATTGTCCACACTTGATTTGAATTCAGAAACATTACGTCAGGACATTATTAAGTACAAGGCGTCATGCAAAAACGCTTTCGAGTGTACAGATACAGACAGACACTCCACCTTGCAGTCGTGAGACCTACGACGTACCCACTCGGCCACGCTCCCTTGATCGAGGTAGCCCGACGCTTGTTCGTAGTGAATGTGCGTATGCTCCCTCTAAAGGCTCTGTAACTTTGTTCTGGGAAGTCCGCAGCAGATAAGACTTTCAGTCGGTAAACATCTCATTTCAAATATCTACATCAACCTACCATTCCTCCCTTGTTGAAGGTCACCTTTTTTCACGACTCGGCAGCGAGTGTCGACGGCGCTGCATTTGTTATAGGCAAGAGGAGCATCACCCGCAGAAGTTGCTCCGATCATCTCTGGACGAGATACGCCAGCAGTCCTACACTTGCAAACATAGGTATGACTAGAACTACCACTTTGTGCAGGACGACCCCTGTCGTCTTGCTCCTCTTCCTGTCCTCTCATCTTTTCTCTCTGGTCGTTTGTTCGTGCACCAATGTACCGCTTCTTCGAATACTCGTCCAATGACGCGGACTTATAGTTGATATCGCCGCGATCAATCGGACGGTATCAAGGGTGGTGGGGTGAGCCCGCCGCCAGCAGCGTTATATATCAATACTGCAAGGGGCGTGACCAGTTACTACTCGAATGCGACGATAATAATGGTATTGAGGGAGTCTTTTACGGCTTCGTCCACTGTTTTCATCACTTATAAGTCAACTAAGACTGAAAATTTATACTTGGAAACCATCACCGAACTGTATATACAGATGTGCCCCCAAAGCAAATGGCAGTTGGGAGGTGGACCTGGTTCAGAGAGCATAAAATACAAGGTAGTACATTCCAGCTGGATTTCCTGACGAGCCATAACGCGCCCCATGCGCGAAAGCAGTGCAGTGGAGAGGGAGGTACGTTAACGAAGATGTATAGCGTTAGTTCCAGGTAGCGTCAGCCGCGAATAAAGAGGCGTAGCAAGCGTGGTCATGCATAGCATTCACACTAGGACTAGGTACACTCAAACTTGG